CTTCTTTTTTATGGGGTCTGGGAATATAAAAATCAAAAAACCTTGTGAGGCCCCATGCAACAATAATAATAATAATAACATGAAAATAGTATTCAATAGTACACAGAATCAAAATTTTAATAACAGCTGGTGTGTAATTATAACAACCCCGCCCCATTATTAATCAATTACTATAAACTCCATGTGCTCAATACGTAGTTTCTCCACTCCGGCCCCGTACAACTCACGAAGTATACAAACCATTCTTGTTTTCTTTCCTGCACCCGACGGGCCATAAATCAGCAAATGAGGGAAATCATCAGACTGGACCTAATGAAGGGAGGGGCAAAAAAGACAAATTTTCTGTCATAATTAATTATTCTAATTTTTACCAGTCTTTTCAAGCTGGCAGCTTGCTCCTGATGATAATGGAGTTTATTAAGGTTGGTTGGTCTGTACTTATCTACTCATAGACTCATTCTGTATTCTGAAACTCCTTGAAAGGCTCTCCCGTGTTGTTACGATGCTAGCTGCAGCAACTAAAAGGTGTGGCTGAATATAGGCGTGGCTCAAATATTTGACCCGCCCACTTAATATTGCCATGATCACTTATCCCTCCCTTTCCCTCTCTTCCTCTCTCTCCCCCTCTCCTCTCTATTCTTATACAGGTCTAGTAGTGTCCTTATTTTCCATTGGTTGTTTCATTGGTGCTTTAGTCTCAGGAGGTACACTACAGATCATGTGATAATCATGTGACATGTGCGTCATTATTTTGTAGCATTGTCTGATTCGATTGGTTGGAAGCTATCAATCATTGTGGGTGGAGTAATTTTTTTTTATTGGTGGTGCCTTGCAAGCATCTTTTAATTTATGGTAATTGCATGTATAATGGCTTTGTATATGTGCATGATATGTACAAGGTTAGCCTCAAAGTACATGTACATACTGTATAGCCACAAAGTTTCGAGGCAATAAACTTTCGCGAATCAGGCCACAAGTCTTTTCTTGTGAATTAACTTTCACGGTTCTTATTTTAAAGCACACGTGTTTATGTATGATACAGATAATTTTACAGAATTAACTTTCGCAGGTACGGAAAATCCGCGAAAACAGTGAAAATTGTACCCTCGAAATTAAGCGGCTATACGGTATACAGTGCTAACCTTACCCTCCCTCCCTCCCTCCTCTCTCTCTCTCCCTCTCAGTCTATGTAAAAAAATAGTATTTTCTTTTTAACTGTACAACAAGCATCCATTATAAGTCAGAACAGCCAGCCCAGTTATGTAAACTATAATTGTCTTTGGATGATAACAGGAAGCAACTTTCTATGAATTATAAAAATCACCTTCTGCTGCATTGTATAAACTGCTGACTTTGTCAAAGAGCTCTATCAATACTTTGATGATAATCCTTATAATCACTAACAATTGCTGATTAGATAATAATATCAAATAATATGATAGTCATGTTCTCTCATCCAGTCCACAATGCAATCATTACTGTTGTATAGCATGTACATGTACACGTAGTGTGTACTTGTGCATGTATGTCTCTTTTATTATTTTATCCTCTCCCTCCCTTTTACTCTGTCTCTCTAGGATGGTATTGGTTGGTCGAATGGTTGCTGGGATTGGTGTAGGGTAAGTCCTCACATTACATGTGTACCTATACATTTATATCAATGTATTTTAAAACCTTTTTCTCCTTATATGTACATGTAGTATATTGAGCATGATTGTTCCTGTATATAATGCTGAGCTGC